CTTTTTGGTGATAGGAACATAGGGCTCAATCACTTTTCTCTCATTTATCAGAAAAACAGAAATCCCTAAAAAATATACAGTTACTGAATTGTCTAGGGTGCTATTGAACACTAACCAGTAGTTGTATGGAAATATCTGGTACAGTTCTATTGCAAATTAGATTTCTTTAGAAATAGGCCTACCTCTTCTCTGATACAGTCAAATTCCGAATGGGGGAGAAGTGGCACAATAGCCTATAAGTTAAGAATGCTCACTCTGATGGTCATTATATATGGAGAGGGAAATACCAGGTGGCTGCACTACATCACCAAGTAGTCCGAATATGAGTAACTCAACCATCATCATCACCGTTCCCATCAACATCCTTTAACACCTGCATTGAGGAGATAAAGGCTTGGATGCAACAAAACTTCCTGCAGCTCAATAGCTCCAAAACAGAAGCTATTTTAGTTTAGTTGGCACACCAAACCAGGTCCAGTCATCCCCCATAACCCACATCACCTTTTCTAGCCAAAACATACCCCTCTCCACAGCAGTTACCAACCTGGGTGTAGGATTTGACCGACATCTGACCTTTGACACCCACATCAAACACCTGTGCAAAACCTCCTACTACCACCTCAGGAACATTGCAAAACTCCTGTCAGATGCTGAACAACTGGTCCATGCCTTTGTTCCCTCAAGGCTTGACTATTGTAACGCTCCTCCTCATCATTCGGTGGCCAGATAGTATTCCAAAAATGGCAGATTCTGCACATGGTGTCAATACCACATCCAAGGCCTCAGCAAGGTGTTTGAAAATGCTTGTCCAGTATCCTTATACTTTTTTACAGTTTACAGTCTTAACGCTACGCTCTTTCTCACTTTGTTCTAAACATTAACTGATTAAATGCAGTCTTGACTGTTTATGAAAAAGGGAACTCGCTTTTTAATAATGACCAAGCATTTTGCAATAGGCCTTACTACTGGGCCAAAGGCTTTGATAAAGTTAAATTAATTTTCCTGCAATTACCTCACACACATAGGCTATTATCTTCTTTAGACTCACCTGTATGCATAATACATTCAGGTAAAACCCATGCTTTATAATAATAATAATAATAATAATAATAATACATTTTATTTCTAAAGCACCTTTCATTGCTCAAAGTAATCCCAAAGTGCTACAAGGGGCGTAATAATGCTTTATGCTGCAACAAGGTTTGTGACTCATCCAGGAGCCCTCCAGTGCTTTTACTTCCGGCTGAACTGCAACAAGTTCATGCAGGTTTTTAGGGAGCATAGGAGGTTGTGTTATTTATCTTAAGGTGTAGATACAGAAACACATAAAGGGTGCACATAGCTGCAGCTGTATCCTAACTTGTGGCCTCGGGCGAAGTTAAATTTACCTGGTCTGACCTCTTATGAGACCTCACGTGTTTTTGCCCTTCAGATTATCCTTTCAGGGCCTGCAGGCGTCAGCATGTACGCACTGTCTCTTTCAGGCTTTCCGTCGAGATTAAAGTATTCATTTTGGACTTTATTGACCTTCAATAGGGTTGACGACTCGACGTCCTTGTCTGCTGACATTGTGTCTCTGCTGCCGATTGCTAATTGAATTCTAGTCTCTTCTTGTAAATTCTGGAGTCAACGATCATGTTTGTCTTTGTTTATCACCTTTTTAACTTTACATCACATGCATGTTCTTTTTTAAAATCCAAGTCTGACTTATCTCCCATTAAGGCATAGCCAGTTTAAAGTATTAATATTTGGCCTATGCATCTACCAAGTTTCACACATTTTGAACATGATATAATTAATATTTTTGCCCACTTTTCTTGTGTTCTGTCAGTTGACAAACCTTCATTGGAGATACAATTGGAGCTCACTGAGGAGACTATTAAAGAAATTATTTTTATATCAGCGTAAAAACGGAGAATACAATTGTACACATGATGACAAAAAGTCACACAGACACAATGAGCTCCACAAATGCATAATATCTAATAGCATCTAATAGACTAATGGCTCCCTTAAAGACCAGCGGAGGACTTTAATGTTGTTTGAAAGTGTAATTGGGCCCTCGGCAGAGGCCTTATTTATCACAGCAAGAACTCAGAGACGCTTCAGAGAATCTTTCTTTCAAACGTCTCCATTAAGGCAAAGCTTCAGCAGCTTTACAACCGTAAGACCACCTGCAGACAGACAACAATAGGTGTGTCCCCCTCCTCCAATACACTAGAAAAATAGGTCTAACGGCCTTCTTCTTTTGTCATGCTTGTCACCACCGTGTGGGTCTCTGTGTGGGGGTGGGGGTGCCGAGTGAAAAGCATCACGGGGGAATCAATTCCTGTTATAAAAAAGATTACTTTACTTCATTTGACAGGGAATTCTTGGAGAGATCATTAAGCTGAAAACTGTTTGAGTTGGTTAGTTAGTTTATTTTGGAATAACATTTAACAACAACACATGTAATCATTTTTCATTTAGTTTACCACTGATTCTTACTTTTACTTTAAGTTACTTAAAGTAAAGTAAAGTTAAATTAAGTAAGACTTTGAACCCTGGACGTAGTACTTTTGCATACATCTGTTTATTTGTGTTATGGATTTGCTGTTTTGTCCAGAGTGACAATCTCAAGCAGTATCAGTTTACTCTTGTAGCTAAATGGCAGGAAAGTGAATAAAACTACATCCAAAGTTAACCTATTTCTTTCCAATTTATATTTACGCTTATACGCTTATGTGCTAAAAGTAGCCTAATACAATACTGGGAAATAATACAATAATGGAACCCTGTGTCTTCGTAGTTTTGTAGCTGTTTTGTGTATATATTTTTGTGTGTCTGTGAAGCTGTTTTTAATCTCCTTTAACGTTTTTCTGAAGTCATTTTGAGAATCTCAAAATACAGTCCACTCTTTCGACAAACTCCTCTCCAGGTAAACAATGGGTGCGTTTCAATTCCTTTTTAATCCAACCTACTGCAGGCAGCTCCGGACATGTTTAAATATCCACCCACTTGAAAGATTATAATTTGAGAGGAAAACTACTGTCCCGACCTCAGGGGTTTACAGGGAGATCATGCTGTTAACCCCTGGGTGTCCATTAACTGTTGCTGCAGCTCACATTCATGATGTGGTGATGCCTTCAGGATCCCAGCTGTAATTTAACAACTATTTTTAAATAATATTTAATAACTTTTTGTGGATAATTGTGTCTTTAAAATAACAGTTTGTGTTAATTATATTATCAGTCCAGGCAATTGTACGACTACAAGTTGTACTAATTGGTCTGTTGTGCCCCCTGCTGGTGTTTCTGAAAACCAATCTTACTATCCTTATAACAGAATGGTCATTGATGAATTGAGTTGAGAATGTGGCCTGATTTTAATGTGAAAGATATTTAACAGCACCTCAACTATCTATCTAAACTAATAGATTATTTATATGGTTGAATTTAATCTTTTAATGTGTAATACGATCGTAGATATTCTATCTGTTTTTGCAGTTTAAGCATGTTTTGGGGAAGAAACTCTAACAAACACAAAATTAGCAGATTTATCTATCATTTATGAAAAATATTAGTTAATTGAAGCCCTAAAGTAAGTGCAGTGCACCTTTTTGTTGTTTGAGGTTTAGAAATACATTATTTGGGGAATAAAAAACATTATATATATTAAAATATTGTTTGGTAAAATATCATGGTATCAAAGGCCTTCAGTGACATGTGGTTAATATACAATGTTTGGATCTGTTATGGTTCTTAAAATTCAAATGAACAAACACCATTTAATTCAATAACAGACTCATAGATTAATGCTGAAACGTTTACAGGGGTCAGCATGCAAAAACAAACCCGCATATAATAACGTTTACATTCTCCATACATCAAAATGTTGTACATGCACACTGAGCGATTTCCTGATTTGGTTTAGTTATAATAATATTTGAAACAATGTTGGAACTTGATCTAATAATGGACACAGAGAAGATATACCAAACCTAAAACATCATACAGTATCTTACAGGAATAGTACAACGTTTTGCTTATTATTTGCGTTCTCGACGATAGAAGACTGATTCTAGATTGAATATGCTGCCACAGCCAGCTGCCGGTTAGCATAGCTTAGCATGGAGACAGGAACATCTTAATTTACAACACTGCAACTGTATGAGACATACATCCTAAAAGTCAAACAAACAAAAGCATGAGTTCACCGTTCTGGACAGGGTGAGGGTTTGAATCCCGCCTGAGACCAGGAGGGACCCCGGTACTTGTTGGCAGTTGGCACTGATACAAAACAGCATCAGTGTAGACTTAACTTCGCCTCTAGAAGTTAAAACACTTCTTCGCTAAGGCACCTGCAACACTTTAGCTGCAATTAATTAGTGCAACTGATGTAAAGCTGCACAATGATCAATTGTTGTATCGTATAATGTTGTTTTGTTTCTTAGAGCCTTTAAGAGGAGTGTAGTTTCCGCACATATATGGAGATACAAAACCGTTTGAAATCAACATCTGCAATCTGACACAAACAGTTTTGTCATCAATCAGTGATTCGACAGAAATATAATCATAATTCTTTCAAGGAAAAGGGGTACATTCACAGTTTTATGTTATGATAATTGTGTGGATTTGCTGTTTTTTGATTTGATATCATTTTAAACTGAGTCACTTGAAGGGGCATCAGAGAAATGCATTTTATTGGCCTTTTATAAACAGGCGCTGCAATAATTTCTTTAAAAGATTTTGAAAATAATGTACATCTATTTTGACAATTGATTAATCATTTGAGTAATTTTTTAGGTTATATCCAAACATTCTGTTGTTTAGGGGTGTCACATTTGATTTATTTTAGTCGGCCTAACAATGTATTAAATGTAATACTTTTAGGAGTTTTAGGTTTTCTGGTCACACAAAAAAAATCATGAAATCAACTCAGATCTAGAAAATCTAGAAAAACATTCACTACTGATTATATATGGGATTTGATTTAAGAAAATTAAATAAAAATTGGCGAGTCAGTTGCAGTATTCTTTTCACTCTTAAAAGTCTTTTGATAAAAATAATGACAGATATGGCTAATAAATGCAGAATCTAATATTATAATTTTTTGAACAATTCAGCCTAAATATGATGTTCTTTTGTTTCTGTGTTTGTGGTTTATGCAACACTTTTTGTGTGATTATATCTCAATAAAATGAACAGTTGGCTTCATCTGAAAACTGCACTGAAATGTCAAGTGGACATTTGCTGTCAAATACCCTGAACTCTAGCCTCGCCTTAATCCCATGTGATCAAAACGGCTGTTGCTCTGCAGCATCCTACGTCTCAATGTGCGTCATAGAAGCAGCTTGGCTTTATCTCCCCGGTCTCCCCTCCCCCTGCTACCCGGTGAGGAATCTGAGCTGAGGTCAGTTTTCAGTGTTTCCCTCTGCTCAGATGTTGGGGTCTCCCTCCAGCTTGGTGAGGTCGGTTGCTGTCCCCATGAACATGCTGAGTCCTCGCTCCAGTCGGCTCTTCTTGTCCGTGAGGCGGAAGGCCTCCATGAACTCCTCGATGTCGATGCTGCCGTCCTGGTTGCTGTCGATGGTGACGGCCAGGTCCGAGATGGCTTCCTCCGTGATCTCCATCTTCAGGTAGACGCTCAGCAGCTTCCAGGTCTGCCGGAAGTCCTCCATGGTGATGAAGCCTGGGTGGAGGGAGGAAGTTAAAGATGCTGTGATAGAAACCGGCTGAGAGGGGGAAAAGTGTGCGCGGTGAGAGGAGGGGGAGGCCAGTAGATCAGTGGGCTAATCCTTGTCTAAACATAGCTACAGGTGGATAAGTACTTTACAAAGCCTTGACACACTTCACACCTCCACTGAAGAACACGGTCTCTCATTGGATGGTCTGTGCAACAGAAAAGTCTTTGCATAATGGGTTAACCAACTTTTTATTTAATCGTTGGCCATATGGGACAATAGTTTTTTCTATATACATCATCCTATTTTCAGGAATTAATCATTAGTCCCATGTGCCCAAAGACCATGAAAATCTAAAAAGATCTATGTACTCAGAACTAGCTGAATATCAAAGATATGCACACATGTAGACTAAAATAATATTTTATATGAAAGCCTTTCCTCATTTAACCAGGCCCACCCCTCCCTACACGCAGATCAGGCAGACTGCGTGGGGCCTTATCTTTCAGAGGGGGCCTCGTCATTTGCGCAAATGTGGCGTAACTCATCTTATGCGCAAATGCGGTGCTACTATACACGCCACAGTTTCCCCGCTGCGAGGCTCCGGTGCTAACAGACCCTCTTCACACAATGTTGCGTGGGGCCACAAATTGGTCAGGGGCAGCCCTGCATTTAACTATTGCTAAAAGTTTGAAGTATTGTACAGTAAGATGCTCAGCCAAAATATTGTCTTACATGGCTTTTTTTGTATAATGTCAAATATAGTATTTGGGCACAAATGGTGCAACTTCTTTTCCAGTGATGAATAAATAGTTTTACCCGAGTTGTCCGTGTCTACGATTCTGAAGATGGTCTCCAAGGTGGAGCGGTGGCGATACAAAGTCTCAAGCAGACTCTGGTCAATATGCTGCAAGAAAGTTATTTAAACAGTATTTAAGTGTGTTTAAGTTAGAGTGGGTCTGAATCAACATATGCAAGCAGATATCAAATCAGACGGCATTTTTTCTGTGGCGTTCTGTCTCCAGCTCGGTAACTCACGTCCGCGTTGGCTCCTTTAATGGCGAGCTCGTTGAACCACTCGTAGTAGTCGATGGAGCTGTCGGCAGAACGACCGGTGACCAGCTGAGAACGCATTATCCTCCAGGGCAGGCCGAGGCGCATCACACTCTCCACCGCAGACGCCCAGTCGGCCAGACTGACACGACCTGAGGGAGGAGGAAATGTCATCCGTCATCTGATTTATCCAACAACAGTTTTCCAGTTAAGTCAATGGATGTTTGATTGTAGTCCTATCGTACGTTTATTATACCAAATGACAGCATGCATTCTGATGGTATTCTTTAAGGTCTTCCTGTGGTACTTTAAATGGATGTTGACCATTTTTAAATGGAGAACAACTTTTTTTTAGCACCAAATCTGTATAACAAACTGTTGCCTCAACAACTCATTTTAAAACATGGGGTTGACCATCATAACCTTCCATTATAATGATCCAAGCCAAACATTTTCACAATATATTTCAATTGAATAATCCAACAGAATTCAGTTCCAAGCTTACACACTTCTACGTGTCATGTAGTGAGTGTGTGACTTTTTATTGCCACCTGAACGTCCCCTTTCGTTCAGAAGCTAAGTATTATTTCTAAGGACCAGAATAAAATGTAAAGCCATTAAAAATCATATTCTTTGAAAATTACACTAAATATTCCTCTGTAAACAAAACGTTCAAGTAAATTTGAAGTGAAATAACTCAAACTGATGAGCTAAACTACATAAAAAACACATGATATGCTTATAATGTACTTGAGAATCAAGAATAGCGAGTAAATCCCCAGACAACAAGTTTCTATGAAACTGTCAAACGTTCATGAATGGACTTTGGGTCAGCCCACAGTTTTGATCTGAATAGGGATAACAGTTGGGAGCTCATATTTCTCCCTAGCCACACATTGTCCTCCGAGAACTTCGAGTACACAAGAGATCTTCAACACAATTAAATAACACCTGATCAGACTGCTGCACACACACACACACACACACACACACACACACACACACACACACACACACACACACACACACACACACACACACACACACACACACACACACACACACACCTTTGTTTTCACTGTCCAACTTTTTGAAGGCACAGATCAGGTCAGATTTATGTGCAAACAGCTGCTCCCGCAGGACTTTGTTGGCTGAACGCTCGCTCCGCCCCGCACTGCAAACAAGACAACAAGAAATAGAACACAGAAAAAGAATCAAAGGCTTGTTGTTAGTGTTACAGGAAATGTTCTGAAATGTTTATAGCCAAAAACTGATAAAATGCATAAATAATAAACCGATGACTCCCACTGTCTAGATGAAGACTTTCTGGAAGTGTTGTTGTACCTTTGTCTCACGCTGAGCTCTCTGATCATGCTGCTGGCCTGGTACTGAACTAAATAAGGCACAAGGTCTGGACCTAACTTCACGTAGGCCCCCCTGTTACTTCCCACATCGTAGTAGTTTGAAGCGGAGAACAGTGTGAGGACCTAGGTGAAATGAAAGAAAATCCTTTAGTTAATTCTGAAAACATTAGAGGGTCTTCGGGCTGTCAGAGTCTGAGCTCACCTTACGGTTGTGGCAGAACTCGTAACCTTCCTGTTTGCACTCGTGCGAGCGGATGATGAGCTGCAGGTTGTGTCTGTTCAGGAAGTCTTCAGTGACGTCGGGGCCCCAGTAGCAGCCCCCGCCCCGCACCTCGTTGGGCACGCAGCCGTCCTGAGCCATGGGGTCGCTCCACAGCAAGTCCAGGATCTGGAGGCACACAGGATGAACAGACGAGAGAGATTTAGATTAAAATCTTCAGATTTTTTGTGGGCAAAATGAAATACTGGTACACCTGAAAAGCAAAAATAATTGAATTGGAGAATTTCAGACCTTTCTAAAAAAAGGGACATAAAAAGGGAAAAGGAACCCTCAGAAATAGCAGTTGACAACACAAGGTCATGATAAGGAAAAAAACATGTTTTCAAGCCAACATGGATAGAGCATCCTTAGAAAAAGGGAAATATAACATCTGCAAACTCCATCTGCTGAGCAAGATCATATGATCAAGTTCTCCACAACAGCTACTAACGGGCTCTGTGTTGATTTGATTGACTGTTCACTGGAATAGCAATTCTAAAATATCTTATTCTGAATTTCAACAATTAAATACCAGTTATTTCCAGCTGCTGTTACTCGTGTTTACAGCGGAAGGCGCTTTACAGGTCAGACAATTTACTGAATGAGTTACTCTGAGTTGTTTACAACGATGTACCAAAGTATCAGAGTCAAATGAGACCACTGACTTCTCCTGATTGTGCTTAAGGTTGTGACGGTGGTGAACACACTGCAGAAGGATTAATGATGCGCTGGATTACAGCACGTTAAAGCTCCACACAGGCAACAATCCTCAGCAGGCGAGTGTTGATCACTGATAGAGCGTCTGTCAGGCTGTGACTCAGGACTGACTAAGCCCTCGCAATCAAAATAACTTTTTTTTCTCATGACGTCACTAATTAAAAATCTAATTCGGGAAACTTTAGACCTGAGAAGAACACACAAGCCCAATACTCGCGTAAAACCATTTATGAGTGTTGACCTTCTACTCAAACTGGGTTATGACTTAAGGTTCTCCTGGGAACAGAACAAAAGACCAAGGATGGTTGAGGATTGGAAGGTCGACCTAGCTTAGAAATGATGATGATGTTCGGCGATCTCAGTTGCCAATCTTTATTTGTTGAACTGGATACATTTTGCGATGTTGTTTTGTGTTTGGACTCAGACCAAGCTGATATACCCAGCTGCTGATTTGAGGAAGAAGCCACTGGCTGGACCCAACTCTGGCATGATGTAAGAGTGTAGAGTACAACCCATCCCGAATGGAGGTTAATAACCAGATCCTCTGACATTCACACCTGTTTTCATATGAATACCCTCAGGTGTCACAGGTTAAAAAAACTAAAAAAAACTCAATGTGTAATTCCATGCTATCAGATTCGCAATACGTGTGAGCAAAATAGGCCTAAGTAAATGTTTAAATTAAACCTGAAGTACATACATTTACTTAAATAGGTTTATATTGAAGGGAAAATGCAAAATAGGTAGGATTTACCTAAAACATGTATAGACTCTTTTGCTGTGTTTGGGACATTTCTTGACATCAAGCTGTATGAGATCATAAGCACAAATCTAACAGTGTCTACAAAACAAAGCGAGTCTGGGGCTGGCTTTTGCCTGCTGCATGTACTTAACAATGGGGGATTGAATACGTTTAAAACAAATCAGAATTATGTATTTTGTAAGTATCTGAGCAAAGCCCTCACTAGTCGTTCTTCACCTGTTTCCACTCGTCTTCGCTGCTTATAGACTCGCAGGACTGAGACGTGTCATTTTCTGGTCCTAAGGGGCCCGGGAGCCTCTTGTGGATCTCCACGTCCTCCACCGTGTTCGCTCTGAGCCGGTCTGAGAAGTCCTGGAGCGAGCGGTTCTGGAAGCAGTCTTTGGTCAGAGTTCTGGGAAACGTGAGGGAGGGTCTGCGCTGCAACACCTTGTTGGTGGACCCCGCCTCCTCGTCCGAGTCGATCGACATCCCCGCTACGCTCTGGTGTCTCTTCTTCGGAGGCCTCAGCGCCGAGTTGTACTGGAACAAAAACAGAGCAGGAATTTCAATGGCTTTCAGGATAATTGATAAAACATTTAAAATGAACATGCCTATGTTCGAGGCTCACATTGTGTCTGTCCACTCTGGCGAGGACGCTGAGGTCGGTGGTGTTGGAGATCCCTCCGTGGATAACCAGCACCTTCTGGTCTATTACAGTCGCTAACGGCAACCAGCTGAAAATCTTTTGCAGCAGCTTCAGGATCCGTTTGCCGTGCATCTGAGGACGAACAGGAATTAAATTCCCCATCCCTTCTTCATTCTTCAGTTTTAGAGCCATAGTGTATCTTATAGCCCGAGTTAAGTTTGTACTCTTTTCCTTTTATTCCAGGATTACATTTTACACAATCATTTCACCTGATTTGAATTCCCACACTTTGACAGCAAAAATCTTTAGGAAATGCCAAATGTCCTGCTTGTTTGAGGATGACATGGCGCTGCTTTGACATTTAACCTGTTCATTCACTTTTTCTGCCATCATACACAAAACACCAAGCCCATATTCTGTTTATTTTTTATGAAATGATTAGAATGATTTTATTTGTCTTTTATTGTTGTGGTTGAAAATTTACTTTTGATATATTTGCCATCTAATAATTCAGCTTTATCTGTTTTGAACTTAAATAAATAGGGTTGGAGGGGGGGAAATTAATTGCAACCACAACTTGTAATCTAAAACAACATCAACAAGTTGAATTAATAAATAATAACAATAACCCCCAGTACTGGTCCCACATCCAAACTTGTATTTGTATTGATTTAAAATACATTGAGATAAGAAAAATGTATGCAGAAAATGTCATTATTTAACATTGACATTTGAACGTCTTTCTTGATACGGATCACTTATTTTGCATCGCCTGTCCAGTACTTTCTAACTTTGTTTTATGAATTTGTCTTGTCATGATGCTGTTGTTGTCTTTATCTGATCTGTGTTTGTAGGACATAAGTTTACAATTGTAGTACAACGCGCACATTTCTACTTTATGTTCTTTATCTTTTATTAAAGTATAGAAAATAAAGTATTTGTATTCTTATTGATTAATACATTTGGTCCGGGTATGGCTCCAGTTAAAATGTATTTTTCCAGATTGTGAGCTTAATACGTGTTTATAATTGTATCCAAACAAAGGACAGTAGCCTGAAACATTTGGGACATCTGGGGATTCCCTTGTGGATCTTTGACGTCAGACAGTCAACTTTAAAGACGTCAAATCCTCTCAGCCGCGAGGAGGAGGGTCCCTTTTTATATTAGGAAGGAATCTGGCCCGTATCAAGCTTTACTTAGTGTGTAGGCGCAGACGGGATTACTAAATAAGCAGGGGTTGGAGTTTACCAAACATGTGTATGGAAAGTTTGTATGGTGCTAACAACTTACCCTGTATTTAGACAACACCTCCTTTGTGAAGCCGTACCTACATCAGCCAGAGACACAAGATGACAGTTAGAAACTGATTTTAGGCTTCATCCCTCCCCCAGTTAGACAAAGTTTCACCTCAGGTTGACTATGTGGTCCTCGTGGTTTCCTCTGTTGAGGTACACTTCACTTGGATAGACGAGCAGGAATGAAAACAGGATGATGAGGATCTCTATGGAGTCTTTGCCGCGGTCTACAAAGTCTCCGTTAAACAGATACGGCTTCTCCAAGGACGGCATGTCGTTCTGTGATGTAAACAAATGAAGCCATCAAGAGTGAGTCATTCTGTAATCTCAAAGTAAACACATTACAGGCCACAGCACTGATCCTGGTTCACTGACTCAATGATTTCTAAATATAGAATAATGCAGCATGTTGCAGCTTGACAGTAAAATCATAACTGATTTAACGATGAGCTGATAGCGTTTTGAAAATGGTTAATCATTCAAGTTTCATTTTAGTAATAAAATCTGTTTTTCTCAATTGCATATCATGAAAATAAAAATAAACGAGGTTTGTTCAGACAAAAGAAGACATTTGAAGACACCTTAGTGTTGTTGAATATTTATTTTACACATGATATATAAATACTCACTCAATCATTTAAATAATAAAAAATAATTAATTTACTTGCAACCTGATAACTACTATCGAGCCCTGGAGTACAGAAGGAGGTTTTGGAGGTTTTAATAACAGTAGAGGACTTCAATCAAATATTTCTTTCTATAGATGCCTCTTTTTAAAATTAAATAATTATAGCTCATGAGAAAAAAATGTTTTCACGTCAGCTATTCTATCAGTTTTAGACTTTAGAAGAGAAAATCTGTACCTTGTAGAAAATCAGCAGCAGGTCTTCCAGTTGTCCATGCAAATCTCCTGTAATGAAGAGGATATATGTTGATGAGTAAATAACAACAAACATAAACAAACTGCCTACATTACAGTCAGAAAGTGCTTCACAACAGAGAAGCAGTTTTTTTTCAGAGCAATTTTCTTGATTAGTCTAAAACTCCAAAAGATTCAGTTAGCAATCTAGACGCTGGAATCCGATCACTTTAAAGTTAGTAAAATGATGAACTGATCAAATCTCACCACAAATAGTGATTTCTTTGCTGTGGCAGGTGGAGATACGGTTGATATTTGGCAATAGCCGAAGCTGTTTCCACGTTTCAAGCAGTAGCTCGAGGACGTAGCGCGAGTGCAGCTGCTACTGGGAGAGAGACTTATTAGCAAAAAGGTTTTAGACACATGGACAGGTAAGATCACAGCAGTGATATTTTGATTCATAGGTCTGAGCTTTAGGCATTTTTTATAGCACAGCATGTGAAAAAACAACAATAAACAAATGATATATTTTTTTAAAGATTGCTTTTCTGCCGACTAAACAACAAGTTAAGAAGGAAAATGTCATAATGATAACATGCCAATGAAGATACAGATGTTTTTTCTTTTTTGATATATATATATATATATATATAATTAATACCAAGAAATACTTGTTAAGGAAAAAGCAGACTCCTTCTTAAATGAATAAACATGATTGTAGTGGTCAATTGACACACCTTAGCATTTTTCTACAGAATAATGTCTGTTGTGGATCTGAGACTGTCCAAAAACCTTGCAAACCTGTCAGATTTCTTTAAAACTTCATAATGTTAAATGCTGGTCATGTTATTTCGGGTCCAGTGAAACACAAGAAGTAGACTCCATCATGTGCAGTGATACAAAACCAGTGAGTCTGTACATGAACTGTGACAGAGGTAAATGTAAAGTGGAGGTGTGCACCTACCTTCTTGTTCCTGAAGGCCTCCACCAGCCCCACCGCCTGCTCCACCGTCAGAGGGAAGGTGAGGTGGGGTCCTGAGTAAAGACCTGGCACCTCGATGTTCTTGTAGCAGAAGTACCTCTCCCACTCTGCATCCCGACAGACCTCATTGTCTCTGAAGATGTGCGAGATCAAATTCCCTGGAAGCAAGGACAAGGGGACAGTTTAAAGTCAGGGATTCAGGAAATGCTCGTGAAATAAACTGTCTGTTGAAATGTCAAAGCTTACGCTCATTGCTTGCAGGTGTGAAATTGTCCATCAGGTAGCCGAGGAAGTTATAAAGCTACAAGTGGAGGAGACGTGAAAGTTAAGATCTTATGTTCATTCTTACTATTTAGAGACATATACAGGACCATCCCTGTTGTTTCTCACCTTTATCTGAGCCTGTTCTCCAGAGTATTCGATGGACTGGAAGATGTGCCAGGTGTATCTCCGCCTCATCTCTTTGCGGGCGACAAACTGACGGTACCATCGCTGAATCAGGACGGCAGATTTAATAGCTGAAACGACGACAAAAGATGATCAGAAAATATTCAAATGATAGAATTGTTCACAACATGCTATTGCTTTTCCAACATTTAGTTAATAATCGTTCTTTGTATCCTTCTTATTAGGAGATACATTTAAAAGAAAGTTCTGGTTCAGTTATGACTTAAAACAAACTTGACATTTGTTATGTATTGAAAAGGAACCTATAAGAGATTGTGATATTGCCAACATTTGATATTTATGTCAACACCGGAAAAAATATTATGAACAATACTGTGATATCCTCCTAGGTTGCCCTACCCTGTATTGAGAGGAACAATCTGTCATGGACCATAACAGGCAAAACAAGAAAGGAAGTAAAAAAATAAGATTTACCACATTTGTTAAAGTATTAGTATTCAACTTTGGTGTTTATTTTAAGTTCAATTCTCAACTCAATTATTTGTATGTATCATTTCAGACTCACCACAACAACTGGAAATTCCCTCCACAACAAAAATGTGTTTAGCTTGTGTGAAATATCTGAACATCTCTGCTTAAGCTGGATATTCAATCTTGCTTCCACCTGCCCTCATACTCATATGGAAAACAACAACAACAATCACAGCAACAATGACAACAAGGTGTAGCTTACTTATAACAGCTGCAGACAGCAGCAGAGGAAAAAGGTCAAAGAAAAATACAGATTATTACAACAAATAAAACAGGGAGATTACATCTGAAGTGTAAACTATGGTAGACAACAAGTGGGACATAGTGGTGAGGATTTATATACATCTCAGAAGGTTAAGAGAGAAAAATAGGTGTATCGGTCAATGTTTGAAGGATCATGGTTACCTTTTCCAGAGTTTTTGTGGAACTGGTTGGACTTTGAGACGCCACATCCCATGACTGTTCCTGTTCAAAGCACCAAACAATCCTCACATTATGTAAAAGCTATCAGAGGTTACATTAAAGAATGTACACAGCTGTATAGTTTAAGTACAACGTAATTAATCCTAAACTGCTCTCTACTAGGAATGCATTAGTTTTTTGGAGTCACAAACAGACTTTACAACAACTTGAAGTAACCTGCTACAGTCCAGTTGACCCTGTTCATTGACAGAGTGGAAAGTTGAGCGTGGCTGGTCATCAGCTGGAGAGCTGGAGTTGGAAGACGTTCAACCTTTTAATCTCATTACTGCTGGCTCCTCACTTCTGTGATCGGCCTCAATCTTAAAGCATGGGGCTTTTTTTTTTTAATGTAGACTAAAATAATGCCATCTATGAAGCTGAAAAAGGGAGGAAATATCTGTATGGACTGAAGTTGTTTTTATGAAATGGACAAATTATTGTTTTAAATCACCATCTGTTGTATGTAGTAAACAAATAATCCCTTAATGAATGTTTACAATGTACACAACCGTTGATTGATCAACCTCTATTTTAGGTTGATCAATCAAACCTAAAATATACATTTCATTGAATTGGGTGGCACATAATTCTCTTGCTGGTTATGACCTACTTTAAAAAGGAACAGATGGGTGACTTTCCTAACATGTAAAGAGATCTGTACTACAATGTAAGCCTGGCATTTTAAGTGGACTAAAATACATTTTGAGAAGCTCTTGATTCAGATCTGGAACATGAAGATGTTTCTGTCTTTATCTGCTTTTTTCTGGTTTAACTCAATTGATCTAACTGCCGTAGAAATACGAGATCTTTAAATCAGCAGTGTACTTACGTGGTCACCTCTTCAATCCAGTCACCAGCTCCCAAGTTGTTTGGCTTGCAGTTTCAATGAATGTTCAAACAGCCATTTGCTCAGTTTCATCCTCCAACAGTCCAACAGGATCAGGTCAAGAACTGCAGGATGTCTATCAGACCGATCATTGTACTGTGAGAATGACAGCAACACCCAGTAACTCAGCACAGAGGCCTCATCAAGCTCCGTGAGTCTGTGCTGAAGCTGGTTTAGTCTTTAGTGCTTCAGTGTGTGATCGTATGAGAAAGGCACAGAGTCACAAGTGGATTACTTGAGCTAATGACTTGATGCGACTAGACTGGTCTTTTTATAGGAAGAGGGTGAAGTGCCGCGGGAAACTATAGGGGACAAGAGGCCAGGATGTGTTTTTGGCCTTTTTTTTTAATCACATGGGCTTCTTTTTTGGATTGTGTGCTATGAAGTAGTAAGGTATTACCAAACCTAAGCATGATGATGTTTGTTAAATGTCACCTTATGTTGAGCAAAAATAAAGGTAATCTCCATGCTTCACTTGCAACGATGATAGTTGTCTGACATTAGAGTTATGCTCATGGCAGGCTGTAAGAAAAAGTAAGTCTCCCCAAAAACAATTCAGTATTAACTTTAACTAATTTATCACTGTTTTCCCTCAAATGTTTCCCCAACTGCTGTAAGTCCCACACAGTTACATCTTTGAATCATTATTATTACAATTAAATAAAATGAAAAAGGTCAAATGTACACCAAAGGTTACCAGTCCAAAGTTGTATCTTTATAGCTGTATTTATTTGTATATGTTATATGAAAAATGACCACATATAAATAAAATGTATTAGAACTTGATAGGAATAAAATATTACACATGGCTAATAATTAAGCTAATTTCCAACGAATGGCTAATCATTTACACAACGTTATAACGCTAGGTGCTAATCAAATATTTGGGATGCAGTTTCACTGCGAGATTAACTTGAAAGGGTCATGTAACATCATCCTGTTTATGACCAACATCAATTGACATGTTCTTATTTAATATATAAAACTCATAACGTTGCTTTACAAACATACCTGAACGCCGCGGCTCTTGAACGCATCCCGCAGCACTGCAAACGTATGGCGGAGGTGAGTTAGCTAATGTTGGCTAGAAACCTTTAAAAAAGCTAAAAGCAAGCTGTCCTGTGTTTTATATTGACATCAATTAATAGCAAATTGTCAGGTTTAAGAGAAATGTAGGAGAAACGTGTGTTACTCCGCGTGTTGCATGACATAAAGAGGTGTGTTTGAGTCGCTCACAAACACAGGTTCTGTTATGGGTTCATGTGAGGTTCAATGTGGTTGTTACGTTAACTCCATTGACAGCTTGTTCGGTACTTAAAACTAATGCTATCGTGTTCAACAGTCTTTATATATTTAACAGTCCTTGCCTTGTACTAATAGAAAGTTCATTTATTTTGTAATAGCCTACTTACTTATCAATATACCTGGTCAGTTCATCTAGTGGCCAGTAGGAGCAGTCTGCAGAAGGGAGCAATTTCCATAGACCCCCATGTTAAAATGCCCAACTTTACAGCAGAAATAAACATGTTTACATCGTGGTTAAAAAAAAAATATTCTCTGTATAGTTAGATCCCCCCTTCATGAATATGAATTGGGGGGGTGATTTAAAAAAAAAAAATATATATATATATACAGTCTATGCTTGGTAGTCGCGTACTTCCAAGTCACTTCGTTAATAAACGAAGCAAGTATACTTCCAAGTCACGGCTTCGGAAAACGAGAAGAATGGAACAGGCTAACAAGTGTGCCACTCTCTCGGTTTCAACATAAACTGTACCGAAAATAAATACCTCACGATGTCTATCTAATTATGAACTGGCTTTACTTTCACGGAACACATTTTTGGTGATAACAAAGTCACATATTATTTACCAACACATGTTCTACGCCACTACATACTTACATTTAAATGTGTACTGCGTCGGTTCAGCCATTCTCCACAAGGGTTTTGGAAATTGATCCATGCGCAAAGCATTGTGGGGATTTTAAGGACGCAAAGTCTACCCATGTGCAGCCTCGAAATTTCCCCCAAACCAAGGACGCGGCCTCGGTGGAATTCCAAGTATGCTGGAGATTGGAACAGTACTTCGGCAGCACTCGCTGACACAGCATCCTTGAAATATTGGCTTGGAAGCCAGTATCCTCGAGATTGAGAAACGGCCGGTGTTTCTCAATCTCGAGTACGCTTGCTTGGTAGCACATGTTTTCCGAGCGTCTTGCTTCAGAAGAGGCAAGAATACTTCCTGGCATTCAGAAAACAAAGAGTGGAACAGGCTAGCAAGTGTGCAGGCATACTTGCCATCCTTGAGACCTCAGAAATCGGGAGCATTTCAAAACCACCGCGAGGGGGGGTGCTAGTGGATCGCCGGAGCTGTATTAGATTAACATTAACATGCTTATTGTAGTTGTAAGTGCACTGCCTTGCGGCCTGTAGCACCATCCTTGATGGAGCATATGTGTGGGCTGGACCTGTATTTTACAGGAACGGAGTGAGCAGAGGGTAGAGTTGTCGATTCTTGTTCTGTTTTCTGTGATATATCTCAGACTTTCAGTTGCGCGAGCTACTAAAGAGACGCGCTACCATGGAAACCAAACAATGGTGTAGCTGTATTAAAGTCTGAGTGGAAACAGTCCTGAGTAAATCTGATTTATCAGAAATCGGGAGAAATGCGGGAGAAATATGACCCCGGGAGGAAACCGTGAGAGGGCAATGAAATCGGGAGTCTCCCGCAAAAATCGGGAGGGTTGGCAAGTATGTGTGCAGGTGTGCGTGACAGTGCGTCATATGAGAGGCCCCGCCTTACATTTTCCGCCGCAGATTTGGAGAAATTCGTCCGTGCGCAAAGCATTGTGGGGATTTTAAGACCGCGGAGTCTACACATGTGCAGCCTCGAAATTTCACCTAACGAAGTACGCCAGGCTCGGTAGATTTCCAAGTATGGTGGACATTGGAAAAGTACTTTGGCGGCACTCGATGACGTATTATGCTTGAAATAGTGGCTCTGGAGCAGCTTTACTCGCGATTCAGAAACACCCTCAATGTTGAGTATACCTGCTGCAGAGCCACTATTTCAAGTATACTACGTCATCGAATGGCACCGAATGCTGGGCATTTAACACAATATGCTGTGTTTCTCAGGAGAGGCTTCTCAATACTCTAATTTCCCCTCCTTGACTCCTATCCTCGACTCCTATCCTCAAGATTTAGTCCCGCCCACAGGAGATGCGAGCGGAGGACTGGGGAGGGGGAGAGAGGAGTGGAAGAAGCAGGTGGTTAGAGAAATGAGAACTCCTCTCCTCTGAGCGGTCATTTTAAAGAGACGTCCATTAATGATGACACAAGGCACAGCAGCACCCTGTCTGATGGACAGATGTGTTCATGGCGACTTATATATTTACTTTTAATTCATTCACAGTGCGGTATAATGAGACAATAACAGGCTACAGATGCGGATATATACACATATATTTATATAAATATATACAATTTAAAGTATGAGAGCACTCTCATAATAACGTAACACAATCAGAGACTGGATATATCCCCCCCTCTCTCTGGTCGCTGAAATGGGGAATTGAAATTACGGGCAAAAAGTTGCATTTACAAGTATTAAAAGTAAGCATAGGACACCAAACCAACTGAGACCCGTCTGTCGGCCGCATCGACGCACTGTACAACACACACCTACACACTGTACCACACACACACCTACAGCTCCTAAAGCATGATCAGGCTACAGCCGTTGTTTTTCTTTTATTATGTGAAGCACTAAATGGTCTTAGAAAAATATAGTTCCTGGTTGGTGGATCTCTAACTACGGCAAATGAAGCCCGCTGACGTCAGTTGCTTCTTCTTCTGCTTTGCGTTTACTGGCAGAGCTGTTCGCAAAAAAACGCGTTCACGACGTATACCGAGTTACTAAAATACTATCGGGCCGGAAGTGCCCGGAGTTAGCGGACTGGCTTCAGTAGAAGGCTGCTGGGAACTCCAGCAGCTTCTACTGGAAGCCTTCGCGGAACGAGTAAATGGCCAGGAAACCGCTGTTACACCTCCTCATCTCCGAGCGCTCCTCGATGTGCATTTAGATACTTTAGGTGTTCTCATGAGTTGATCCTTCTTCATTTCACTGCGACGTGGGTCTAATGCTAATAATGGTCTGATAAGACCTCTATGGCGGCTTCACAAACGTTATTGTGCAGACTGGAGTTTGCGGACCAGTTTTGTCATGATTTTAAGCATTCCGCACCAGCCAATCAGACACAGGAACCGTTTTATCTCCCAACGAAAGTCCACAATATGCAAGGGGGTAAAAAAAAAGGTTCTCTAGAACTAATTTAGTTCCTGGGACTTTTTGGTGTAAACGCAACTAAATAGTAGTTCTCAGGAACCTTTGTGGGAAAAGTACTTGGTGTGAACGCGCCTATTGTAGAGCAGTTAGAAGGAAAAAAGCTTGGTGTGTTAATTCATTACATTGCCAGTATTTTTCATTGTTGTGAAAAAAAATCGCCCCCTCTCATTTTTTAACAGCCCCCTTAGTCATTTCATCTTGGAGCCGGGCCTGGCTCGGTCCTCGATGTGCATTTAGAGAAATTAGATGTCCTTCAACATGGCGCGCTGAAATCCATTTCCGTGTCACTACCGGAGGACTGAGGAGTCGAGTAGGGGAAATTAGAGAATCGAGAAGCCTTTATTGTCTCCCCACTAAATATCCTGCAGATTTGCAGCGGCGTGCATTGATTGCCTTCTGCACCCCGCTCGACGATTTGAAGGAGCGCTTGAAGTCTAATTGCGGTGTGGCTCCGCCGACCGTTATAGATCTTGCAAACAGCTAACCGTTAGCCGAACTGGCGAGCTATCCGTTAGCATGTCGGATGTAGTGCGAGGCCCAGCAGGGAACAACGACTGTCGGATTTATGTGGGGAATCTCCCTCCGGATATTCGAACAAAGGACGTGGAAGACGTGTTCTACAAATATGGCACAATACGAGATATCGACCTGAAGAACCGGAGAGGGGGGCCACCTTTCGCCTTTATTGAATTTGAAGACCCCAGGTAAGAAGCTAATGGATAGACCAAGACCAGCCCCATTGTGTGGCTAACCGTGAGCTGTCACGGAGCCAGACTTCTCCCTGGATTTACTAAACATTGCTATGCAAGCGAAGTGTGGTTTGCTTCCCTAAACGTGTTATAAGAAGTGTAGCTCGCTCCTTTTAACGAAGTCCTGCTTGTGTTTGCACTGCGTCCTTAATTGTATGTCCCTGTAACATTGGCTAGTTAACAGACATTTACATTGTTTCTGGCTAGTAATTGTATCAATGCACGTATAACGTTACGCAAGTTCATTAATGTATATTGCATTGTGTTCTGATAAATAACACATAACGTATGCACTGATTGAGGCACAATTATGTGTGCACGTCTGCAAGGTGGATTAGCAAAGGCAGATCAAGCCAGCTGATAGCATCGTTGACCCCGGTTGTACGGGCATTGCCTCTGCCCACCCTCCACGTGTTAATGTTTAAACTGTACCTCGTTCCCAGGGACGCTGATGATGCAGTTTATGGGCGTGATGGTTATGATTATGACGGATACAGGCTGCGCGTGGAGTTCCCTCGGAGCAGCAGGGGCTCACGAGGAGCGTTTGGAGGGATCGGCGGAGCTCCCAGAGGCAGATACGGACCTCCATCAAGACGCTCTGAGTACAGGGTCATTGTTTCGGGTAAGTACTAACTTGCCAATGTACATTCATATTACTATTCATATCCATTGGCTGCTTCGTTTGGGGAATGCATCTTTCTGAAGTGTACCTTTTTTATTGTAGTGGGTGCAGTTTTAAGGTAACAAGCTTAGCAAAAAAGTTTTAAACTGTACAAGATCATGTGGGTCATCATGCATGCTGTAATAACCTCATAAGTCGGGTAACTGACCAGATGACTTGGAAGTAATGAAGTTTGAGTAGACTGTGCTCTAACTTCAGATGAGACGACTTTATTGACTTAATGCACATACAGCCTTGGTAATAGATGCACACAACATTAACCTCATTACAGTATATGTGCTTGGCGATATATACTACTACTTTGTGGGTGAACACTTTGTTGACAGTACCAGTTATAGTGACAAATGTAATCAGAACAATTATATGTATTCATCTTGATGTAACAAATTGAAAATTTGCCGGAAAGATAATGCAAAATAATATTTATTACCTTTGCTATAAGTTAAATTGGTATTTATATAATATATATTATTTACAAGTAAATCGATGTGTTATTGCGCATATATGTTATTATTATATATTGTCTGTAAAACTCAATTGCTTTTCTACACAATGTCTGTCCTAGTTTCCCAAATTCCATTGTTTTGTTTTTTTAAATGTCTTGTTTTGTCAGTCCAGAATCCAAATAAAATGATATAAAATTGCAAATCACGCCACAATTTAACACACGGCTTTATACTATGTTATGAAAACACGTCCGACTAATCAAATTATATCTTAAAACTAAACGTATCCTGCATTTTTAACATGTTTTCTTTTAACTACAGTTGGACTTTACATTCGAATGAATTGAAATGCTGCTGCAACACTCAATCCTGCAGCGTCTGTTTCCAGAAAAAAAGTTCTGTAGTTCTAACATATGTTGACGTTCTTACAATTAACTGTCTAAAGCTGGACAGTGTGCTAACAAAGCTATGGTTGAATGTTTTAGGACTCCCGCAGAGCGGCAGCTGGCAGGACCTGAAGGACCACATGCGTGAAGCAGGCGACGTGTGCTACGCCGACGTCTTCAGAGATGGAAGCGGAGTTGTAGAGTTTGTGCGAAAAGAAGACATGACCTATGCTGTTCGAAAGCTGGACAACACCAAATTCCGCTCGCATGAGGTATGTGTACTAGGGATGTGCATCTCCATTACTGAGTGCGATGCGCATCTCCATAGTTGCCAACGATACGATACATTAACGATACATTTGAAACACCAGGCGATGCGATACAATTCACCCCTGTTGTGATACAGTTCGATACGATTTGATTCAACATTATGCGATTCGGGGCGATACAATTCGATTCAACAAGATGCAAAATAATGATACTTCAATATGGTATGACAGAGGATTTTTGTTTTATTCGTTATATGCAGCAAATCATACATTAACAAAAAAGTGCTTTACATATTTGGTTCTCTGTACTAGTAATGCGCATCCCATCATGCTGTTTCTTTTTTACCTTAAAAAACTCCGGAGTACACTACAATGTATAACACCTCACAGTTAAACTATTTAAGGATGCATTGCCCATGATTAACAATGTGCAAATAAGGACTACCACAGTGCAATGCCCATACAGCTGCCAGCCTGATGTGCTTAACACTCATTCATAGGCTAACTCACCAGTGAGCAGAAAGCAGTGGTTTCTATATGAGCAATAAAAAATACAAATAACCTTTCACAAACAGGTATTTCTTAACTGCTTACAATTGTAAGGAAGACATTTAAACTATTATTGGCAGTCACAGGCTGCTGTAAACTAAACACCACTCTCTCTGACAGAACACCTCACTGAGTGATTGAACTCATATGTCTAACTTTCAGGTTTTTCTTTTTAGCCGTAGACGACCCATGTCGCCTCTTGTGCGTCGCTAAGCTCCTCGTATACTTGTGTACTTTAAAGTGGCGCGGCATCGTTAACAATTTGCGTGCGATTTTTCAAGTTGTCCGTCTTTCTTGAAAAATCCGAAGTGTTGCCAAACGTTTGATTTGTAGGTATTTTTCGGTGCGTTGTGTTTCTCTTTCTCCTCGACTTCCATGTGTGTTGATAACTGAGACTCTCGGCCGCCGTAGTGGCGAAGCAAAGATCAAAGATCGTCTCTGCTGAGTGCTGACAGGATGAGAGGATATTTATATGAAATCGTTTTTTTACCGATGCATCGATCAACAATCGATGCATCGCGATTTCCACCCAAACTGTAGCCGATGTGCACTCTTTCAACCGGTGCACTCGCATCTTGAACGTTTATGCCGGCGCACCGATGCGAATCGGTGAATCTTAACATTCCTAATGTGTACTGATTTGATCAACTGTCATGGATAATGTTTTTTTGCTGTGTCCAGGTGAGTACTTGTGAGGAAATGCTATATGTTCCAAGTACCTCTGGCCCTCATTTCTATCCATGGTATTTCCACCATAGGAAGGAATGTTGCCTTTTCAATGTCAAGTTCTCTTGTGTCTGCCAGGGAGAGACTGCTTACATTCGTGTGAAATTAGACGGTCCCCGCAGCCCAAGTTACGGAAGATCACGCTCCCGCAGCCGTGGCAGTCGGAGCAGGAGCCGCAGTAGAAGCAATTCCCGGGGCCGAGGCAGAGGATCGCCCCGCTACTTGCTTCGACACAGCCGCTCTCGCTCCTGTTCTTAAACCTTTCTACCACCAATTTTTTTGCTCTTTTGATGTTCACCTTCTTGTTTTTACGTCAGCACTTGATTTTTTTATTTCTGCTTTCCATGTCCCAATGTCCTTATGTTTTCTCCCACCCTCTCCAGTGGCTTTGTCCTTTTGTTTTTCTCTCTCTTTCTCACCCATCTTTCTGTCCTTTCAATATTTTGAAAAAAAATAGGAATTGTGCTGAGTTGTCATAAGCTGCACTCAATGTTTTTGCAAGTCTTTTTAAAATTGAGTTTTGTTAAAAAAAAATAAACAGCCTCTCTCTCATTTGGATATGTGGGGTGGGCTTTTTCGAGCCCAATGCTTAAACTGTATTTTACCCTTGTGTCTTCCTTTAGATTCTGAAGAGAAGGATTAAAGTGATTTGGATAAAACCCATTGTGGAGCACATTTCAATTGTATGGTCAGGATAGGACATCTAATTGAGGAGCAATCAGGTCGAGGCAATGGTACGCTTCATGTTCCATAAATTGAACGTTTTGGTTATCATATCATGCATGTCATATTTACATGTCCCATGTGCTGTATTTATCATATATACAATTGTAAACATGGTACTCTGTCTTGTGACAGAATAAACAGTCCTAGATCAAGTGTTGTGATTTAAGTGTAACATCTTTGCTGTCAAATGTAAAAAAATCTGATCACTTTGTTGCAAAAGTTTCCCACTTATAACTTTGAATGTCCTTATTGGTAACAAAATGTTTTTTACTTCAGGGAGTGATAGCTTTTGTGCTCAGTGGCATTTTTTTTCTTGATTGACACAAGTGCTCAAAAATGAAAAAAATTAGGCCCACAATTCTTGACATTTTATTCTAACAGTCTCCCTCTGATTTTCTTCCTGGTATTTCAAGGTTTTGATTGGAGGAGTGGCTCAGTGGATCCCAATCCTTGGAGCTGGATGAGTGGATCGATTAGGAAAGGGATAGGCAAGGATGGATGCTCGGAACGGGATCAGTTTTTCCAGGATTCAAATGAGTTTGATTTCAGAACTAAATAACAGGAGTCCCAGAGCAACTTTTTTGTCTATTAGGCCCCCCAATGCCTATTTAAAGTTTTTCAGTGGTAATGGCTTTATTTTACAAGAAAACGAAACGGAGGACCAGGAAGTTGGATCAAAGGATGGAGTCGTAGATGCCTGGTATGAGGGAATAAAATATTTGTGAGGTTGGGTGGGGGTTTCTGTGGGAGTAGTTGGTATGTTTTAATCTTGCTTTTTCTCTTAGCATTTTCAATAAAACACTTTCAAACAAGGATCCTTTTAGTCTGTTTGTATTTGTATCAACAACTCAAATATTAATTCACGTGATCTGTCTAAATGAGTTAAATGCTATTTTTTTCCCTAAAAGTAAATTAGCCTGGTACATGGCATTTAACTAATTTTTAACCACAACATTCCTTTTAAGAGTGAATTAAAAATGTATTTCTAAAACTATAAAGCAGCAGGAAATAAGGCTGATTAAAAATGATGCTAATTTAAACGCCACCAACACAATAGCAGTGCATATGTTTAGTATTCAAAGCTCCAGAGTCTCAGCTGTGACGACAACCGATGAAAAAGCCTTTACACACAGCCAAACCATACCTACCCACGGCCAAGGTCTCGTTTCCTTTTAGCCAACAGTCAGTGGTGTATACTGTGAATGATGCATTGTGGGATGAAATAAGTTGCCGGCAGACAGGAGCTGGAGAAAAACGCTTGCAACACACGGGGAGGCTGCGGCTCAGCCAATGACAGGGCTAGCATGCAGCAGAGGGGCGGGGAGCTGCTGGAGCACAGCAAAGAAAGCCAACCTGCCTACATGCTTATTGTGTAAATCTTTAAAAAGCAATTAACCGCAGCATCATCTGAACCTTCCCCCCTGGCTGGGTGAAATACATATTTTTTGGAAAGAAGTGTTTCCCTTCGCTACAACAAAAGGTGAGATGCAGATTCTGTAATGTGAAAAATATTGACTTGAATGCCTTTAAATATTTCTGTTGCGAGTTTATCTTATGATGGTGAGCTTTCTACCGTATGCCTTGTTGTATTTCGACTGTTTAGTCTTGTGGATTGTACTGGAAGGGATAGCAGCAAGCTTAGTACTGCGAGCATATCATTAATAAGATACATTCTGATACTAATGGTCTCCTGATGCAGAAGCTGCTTTTATCTGAAAGTGATTTTGCCAAGTAATTTAACTCCACCTGTATCAAGTTTCGCAGCCAATCTATGCAACTGTCAAATCATCCCTTTAGATACGAATATATAGCGTACAACACATGACCTTAAGTAAGGACTGTGAATCAGTGCACATGATAGAAAACTCTGCCAAACGGGCAATCTTCTGCGTATGATTGATGTTTTTGGAAGGTCCTGCTGGCTGGCCTAAACATCCTCATCACCACGTGCGGTGTTCATTTTCAGTGCAGTGATCGTGCTCCTTTTTCTCCACAGGCAGGCGATATCATCACACACAACCATGACTGACAGAAAAGCTGTGATCAAGAACGCAGACATGTCCGAGGACATGCAGCAGGACGCGGTGGACTGTGCCACCCAGGCCATGGAGAAGTACAACATAGAGAAGGACATCGCAGCCTACATCAAGAAGGTGAGACGACTGGCAGCATGGATGGAGTCTCTGAATGCTTACATCATTGGCACATGATGTGCAAATTCAAAGCCTTTTTTATTCTTGGATCTATTTTTGGTTACATGGGGAGACAAGGCTCTTATGATCAGGGCCGTAGCCACTAGTTTCTTCTTTCAGATGTCACAAGTCCACAAGCCCCCCCTCCCAATCTACCAACACAACATTTTGATACCATACAGAAGAATATTTGATGTTCTCTTATTTTTCAACTTAAAATGTATTTTTACTTTATCTAGCTGCAATCAAACAGGCCATCACTATCCAAAGTGCTTCACAGATAATTGGAAAGCTATACAGTCAAACGTAGCACATTTATGAACTTGAAATATAAAAGATAGAATAGACGCTGAAAATAAATAAATAATTGTAATCGTAGTTAGTCAGTTTTTTCTTGACGCTGTAAGGGCCTGTTTCACTGATCTTCTTCTTTTGACATGTTTTAGGAGTTTGACAAGAAGTATAACCCCACCTGGCACTGCATCGTCGGGAGGAACTTCGGCAGCTACGTCACCCACGAGACAAAGCATTTTATTTACTTCTACTTGGGCCAAGTGGCCATCTTGCTCTTCAAGTCTGGCTGAGACGTTTCTGATGTTTGTTGAGGAGTTTTGCTCCCTGAACCTAAATCGGAAAGCACTAGTGGCTGATGTCTCCCATACACTAATAACGACATACCATAATGACGCAGACCCGGCCGTGCGCAATTGCATGGACTATACCCTATTTAATATGTATGTTTCAGTAAGTTTACTTTTTGATAGTTGCCATTTGAATGCAACTGAAGTAGTTTTTGTTGATGCTGTTCAATTCTAGGTTGTAAAATATGTCAACGTGGCCCTTGATTGTATAATAAAGGAAAGCTGTAGAATGTAGTGGTGCATTTGCTTTCCTTCACAAGTGGCATTGCCAGACCCAGACTCCATCTGTCGATTTAGATGGTAAAAATAATACTGCGTGCACCGGTTTAACAATTCATTATCAACATTTAAACGTGTGATCATGAAAAGAGGTTGGTTAATGAGACTAAATAGTCTTCTAACATGTGTTAATTTATGACCTTCCTTTGGTTTCAACGTGAACAACAGCATTAGATCAGTTTATGACTGATATGTTAATTATGCTGTCTGTAGATGGGAATACAACATCTTATAGTTTCATTATGGGTTTAAAATAATAATAATAATGTCCACTGGCTTTCAGAAAAAAATAGATGTTGGAACATCTAACATACTTTACATTTTGGAGCCAACACAAGCAAGTGCACACATTTCCAGTTTGTCAATTTCACTGTGAGGGACAATGGAGCATATAATGCTCAAAAACACAGACTTTAAGCTTGTAAATTTGATATATGCTACAGACTGGTTACCAAACTCTACAACTCAACAATCTGCATGTTTGGAGGTTACACACCACCATTTATTTAACTGTCAGCAGACATCAGACACAAACAAAAGCTCATCTTTAATTGTTGAATATGTAGATTTTGGACTGAGCCGATGTAAAGAAGGTGATTTAGAACTTCTGCAGTCAACTGTACCAAGGCTCCCAGCACCCCTGTGTTTCAGATTGTTGTATCGTTGTGTGTGGCTCGTTGTTACTTTAAGTTGTATTAACCCCAATCTTTATTTTGCATTGCCAGTGTTCTGCCACACATGCAAGAAAGACGAAACCTTTAGGAGTTCTTCTTAAAGCAATTGTGAGGAGGCGCATCCCTTATCTAGCGCAACAATTTGGGTAATTTTATTTTGTTGGCATTATACGTTTGAAAGGCAATGCGTAATGTTAGGAATCTTCACGAGGGGAGATTAAAGGGATTTACCCTCTGGCTGGATAACACCACACATTTCTCGGTGTGTGTAAATACTGAATGTTTTTATTTGCTCTCTCCCATAATCCAACAATGGGTAAATGTGTATCTCTCCAGTGTTGGCTTGGATTGACATTGAGGGAAGTCTTCCTAGCTATTGTCAATGTAAACTGATAAAGTATTGTTTTCCTCTGGCATGTTTTTTTGCTGTGTATATGTAGGAGCCGTTCCAATGCTGTTCGATTTGCACAAAACGTGTGCCTGTCATTGCTCTCAACTGTAACTGGCTTGAGTACAATTGCACTTCATTAGAGTTATCCAGTAGGTTGCTACAGAACCAAAATCGTACAAACTCGATAAAATAAAAAAAATATTGTTGACTTAATACACTGTGGCCTTTTATTTTGTCATTGCCCCTTGCTGAAATCAATAGTTTATTGGATGATAGATTGGTCCAAAGATTTAAAAAAAAAGATGTTAATGTTTTTTATTCATTTGTTTGTATGGGAAAAACCAAATGTAGTGAACTTTAGCAGTGCGGCGGTAGGCAGATTTTGTTACAGTTCGACAGAGACTGGCTAGCTGTTTCCTCCGGTTTTCATTCCTGTGCTAAGCTAGGCTAACAAGCAACTGGCGTTAGCCGTATATAGCTTTCGAAAAGCAAAGATAGTGAGAATGACTGATTCTGGCTTTTAGAAGTAGTTTTAACTGCTATATTTCATACAAAACAAGTCATGTTAGATCACATTGAACCTCATACTGTGATGGTCATTTCCTAAAACCTTAACTAATCAAATGAAAATAAGATGCTTGATCAAAATAATATTTGGAACGATAAAATAATTGTTACTTTTATCAGCAGTGGTCTCTTTTTAATGTATTGTTTGCATAACATACCTTATTAAGACACTTAAAATACATTATATGTACATTATATAATTAAAGCCGGAATCATTCTTGATAGTAGGCCTACCTTACATTTAAAGATGATAGCCTAGTCTAATTGGCTTTCTGAAGCTCACTGGGACTGCACAATCAAACTGACCTTGAGTAATATCCTTTTAAAGAAAATGGCAAATAAAGCACAACTCAATAAGCAACAGAACGGTACATCAGGTCCATATAGTGACTGAAATTTGTAGAAAGAGAAAAACATAGGACTTATGTTTTAGCATTCATATGTTAAAGCTGAAAGCAACACAGTATGTCCCTAATTTTGGATTCATTGTGTTTTTATTACTGAGGCTCAAGTAGTCGGTGTGAAAAAAAGCCCATAGCAACATGTGCGTGAGACCTTCACTCAGAGATGAGGAGTACAAACCACGTAAATGTGATATCAGCCGCTGTAGTGTTGTGCTAGTTGCCCAAATGGATCGCTAAGACACTTGACAGCTCAAAAACTCTGTGACTAATGCTGCGTTCATATGGAATCAGGTTTGTGTCATTTAGATCAAGCAAAAACCTGATTCCATATGTTTAAGGTTTACTTCATTTGGATCACATATTTCATAGTCATTTAGACACTTCATGGACTTTAATGTAAATGTTTTTCATTGTGCAGTGGGGTACCCAGTTTGTGAAATTTGAAGTAAATAACCAATATGATTGCCGTCCCAGTCCTTGCAGAATAATTTAGTTTAGCTTTAGTCTCATTCATGAATAGACGCACACTTCCTTCTTTGCAGTGATATGTTAGAAAAAAAACAGTTCATACATGATATGGCAAATAATAAGTTTGGTGCATTGTCTTGAGTAGCCAGGCCATGATTTCTAGAAAGAGACATTGC